CGCCACAACAGTCCTTTCTGTAAGGGTTCAAGGGTTCAGGGTTTAAGGGTTTAGGGTTTAAGGGTTTGAGGGTTTAGGGCCGCCTAGGACTTTGGGAAGTATATTGGGATGATGCAGGAAGTGGATGTAGGTTATCTAGGAATGAAGGGTCTGGGTCGCTGTTGAGGAACTTGAGCTCAATTGCTATTGTGAGGTAGGTCTGCCAAGTGCCATATACCCATATCATGGGGTAACTTAGTGTACCCTAAACCCTGAAAAGCCTACAACCTACACACAAAATCCTAAACCCTAAATCCTAGACCCTAAACCCTAAATTCAAGACCCTAAACCCTAAACCCTGAACCCTAAATTCTAGACCCTAAACCCTAAACCCTCCCTGACAGCCACCCAGTCACCACTGGCACAATGGTTGTAGGCCCACTCTGCGACCTGCTTGGCTTCTGTGTCTGAGGTTACACGTCGGGAAGGCAAGCCCAGCGAGATACCCAAAGCAACCATGTCCATCAACTCCTGGGTTCGTAGGGTTTAGGGTTTAGGGGCTTATATGGGGGTTTCCAAAAATTAGGGGTACCTTGTTGTAGGTCCCCATAATCAGGATTATAATATTTTGCAGTCTATATTGGGGTCCCATTATGTTGGCAAACTACCATATAAGGTTTAGGGATTCCACTATTACTGTAGGGTTCAGGTTTTAGGGTGTAATTAGGGCGGATACGTAGGGCACCACATGGTTTCCTTTCGATAGCAACTTTAAGTTCCTTAACAGCAACCCAGGGTCTGGCACATGCGTGCAGTACACCTCATTCTGCTGAGCGCGCTGCAGGCCCGAAATCATGCCCAGTTCTCCTTAGCGCGCGACAAAGATGAACAGATCCGTGGGCAATCAACCGGCAAGGGCTGGCATATTCACAGGAGCCATTGTCTAAACTCCTAGTATCCCCCTTAAATATTACCCCCCTTGAGGAGTGTAGACTACAGCTCACATGAGTTACTCGTGCTTAAGGGCGAGCCTCGGAGGGAAGTTAGGAACTGTGACGGCGGATTTTATACATGCATCATTTCGGGGATCCACGCCCCGTCATCACGAGCAATAGTAGAGGAACCTATGGTGGCAAGAGGCTACCAGGTCATGAAGACATGGTTTCTAGGGCCTGCTGTCAGGGATTGTAATATAACGACTACTGTGGTCAGATCCCTTACTAACCACCAGCACCTGGGCCCAAGAAAGGTGAATCAACATACACATGTTCTTAGCTTGTGGTGCTTATAGCAGGATGCTCTTGTCTAGAAATCCCCCTGAAAGGAAAAGTTGTCCACTCAGCTGCCGAACCCTAAACCCCAAA